GGCGCTTAAGCCCCCATTTTGGGCGCTAAAGCCCCAGGCGGCAGAAAGCTTTTGGTCTTCACAGGTGCATCAGGGCGCTTAAGCCCCCTCATGGGCACTTAAGCCCCCTGAGCAGGCTTAAGCCTCCATTTGCAGGCTTAAGCCCCTTCTTCTGGGCAATTTCCTATACTCATATTTTTCATGCATCTTTCTTTGGGAATCAATCCTACACATTTTACAACCTATTCAACAAGCTTGTGATATCCCTATATCATTGCTTAACTCTCATCCTCTCATCATTGATTTAACGGAAATTGGGCAGCATAACCTTTGTTTTCTCAACATTTCCCAATCTAACAGCTTAGCTCCTAATAGACAATTCAGCTCAACATTTCCAATATTCATCATGCATTCATAACCTTGAAGTAAATAACATTACACAAGTTTAATTACATAACCGGGAACTTAGCTACAAAAGGCTATGACCATCCCTTGGCTCTCATCAACAAAAGAAATATCCAATGGCATGGTCATAGGCTAAGTCCATCAAATATAACGAGATATACATACGTCAATGCTATCAATGATCAATCCTATACATGTAAATCTACAAAATAACATGTATGATCTCAAAACATCATTTTCTTCTTGCATGATCTACTGCAAATAAGGCCACTTGCCATCAGAGGCTCCTGCAGTTTCCTTACCTGAAAGGGGGTCCCCATAACACGGGGTGAGATATACGAATATATCACAGTAAACCAGAGGTCCTTGGAGATCACTCCACCCTAAGGTTCACTTTCGATGTACACATAATCATAATAGCTTAACACATTCTTATAAGCAAGCATAACATGGACTTCCAAGAGAGATCCACCAAGGGCTGTTTCTCTTAGGCTCTTACCACATGGAGATCCACATAGGGCTGTTTCCAAGGGAAGTCCTTTCCTCAATCTAGGAACCTCCAAGAGGGATCCACATAGGGCTGTTCCTCTTAGGCTCTAACCACATGGAGATCCAAATAGGGCTGTTCCTCTTAGGCTCTAACCACATGGAGATCCACATAGGGCTGTTTCCAAGGGAAGTTCCTACCAATTATCCTCATCATAATACTATCACTCATAACCTCAATCACAATCCTCAACCCTTACCTCATTCATTATTGCTACTCCTATAACCATTCCTCCATTACTCTTAAACAATCAAACATCAACCAATAATCATCAATCAATCATAACATGTATCAATGCATGAATCAATGCATGAGCATACAATTACTATCATAATTACATATCACATCTCATAAACCATTTCTCCTCAATGGAGTATGGTGGAACACTCAATGGGATCAACCACAAGGTCCAAAGGTTTACCTTGCTCTTGAGCTTTCCTCAATTGCACACAACCCCAAGGGTTGGTCACTCCACTTGGTCCTCTTGCCTCAATCCTATCAACACAAGGAATACAATCAAATAATGCTAACAATGCAAGGAAATCCATAGTTCCAAGCCTAGATTTCTCCAAACATCAAAGCATACTAAAATAACACTATAAACTCATTTCTACCGATTAAATGTCATTCCTAGCATTTTTCACAACATACTCTAAGCCTCATTCTTCCTTGAACATAGCCAATCTACTCAACATTTCATAAAAACCCTAAAACACTATTCATTAACCCTAAACCCATGCAAATCTCAAAGAATCATGTGAAAGAGAGTGGAAACTTACCACCAATGATCACACAATAGAGGAATGAGTGTTCCTCAAGCTTCCATGGAGGTAGAAACTCCCAAAACACCACACTTTCACAAAAGGGGCGGAACTTTGAGAGGAAAAATCTCACAACACAACACTCCCCACTAAGAACCAATCTTGGATTATGAAAGAGGGGAAGATTTAGAGTGGTTTAGGCTTTTGAATCACCCAAATTGGTGAAAGATTGCTCACCCTAGGTTTTCCTCTCCTTCTCCCTCTCTTCTTCTTCCTCTTCTTCTTCTTTCCTTTGCTTCTGTTTCTCGACGGTTTGGGGAAGGGAGAAAGGGTTTTCTATTTGTTATTTCACTTAACATACTTTAAGTGGAATCAGGCGGGTATTGGTTCATCTATCTATTCAACTCCATTAATTACCAAACTTTACCCAAAAGTCTGGAATATTATTATAGGAATATTTATATTTATATTTTTATATTTTGGGCATTTTCGCCAGTACCCATTTATACCCCTTAATTTCCACTGAGTACACTTTTTAACTCCAAAGTGACTCAAATTCATTTAATTAAGCCCTATACTTAATTTTACTCACTAATACATACTTAATTACTTAATTAAAATTAATCAATTAAATGCTTAAGTTTGGGGTGTTATATATACCGAGCCTTTGGATAGGGATTTTGGCACTACAGGTAAGCTTTCGTGTCCTCGATTTTACCCATTGATGGTTCCACCATACCTCGTGGAGGGATGATTTATATGCATGATGTGTTTTCTGGAAAATATCTGTTCATGTTATGAGTATTGGATATGTTGTTGAGTTGGATTATTATTATTATAGTGCATTTGTCATATGTATAAGTATGTGAGCTATTCCACACGAGACAGTAATCCCTTAGCATGTTGGGCTACATGCAAGAAGGTAACTCCGTGTGAGAGGTACATGGTAGACTCCTTGTACTGTGGGTTGTAGACGTATGTAATCCCTACCTTTTATTCTCTGGCCAATAGGATGCATACACACATGACATGGACATATGCTGCATTGCACAGATTTTGCTATTATACTATTGTTATCACTTTTGAACTTATATCGCACATCTAAATGAGCTTGGGGATGGAGAGATCCTTGAGGATCCCTTGTCTTACTGAGATTTCTTGTTAGAGATCTCACCCCGTGTGGGGCACATTTTTAGGTATAGGTATTCTTGAGGTTGAGACCTCTGGCAACAGGAGGCCGGAGTTGAGCTAACATTATGCATGCTTTTTACTTGTCATATTTGCATATGATCATGCCTTGTTATTATTATATGGCTTTTGTACTTGAGACATGACTTGATGATTATGTTGTTTTATTTGATAAGCATGGAGGTTGTCCATACCACATTTGAATAAGCTGTATTTATTCACATTGGAGTTGTATTATTGTATCAGTACATGTCTGGTCTACGTGTTGTAGTTCCATGACTTGATACATTATTTATATATGAGGTTATTCAGTTTAGTTATTTATTGCAATTTACATACAGACGATTTTTTAAAAAGAATAAGTAAATCCATATGGTTAATGTGATAATGTTCATAATTGGAGAAATTTAGCTTCCGCATATATTGAGCTGCGCTTATTACCATTTATATGTTTAATATATCGGGTGCACAGAGGATGTTATATTGAGAATAGTAATAATAAATAAATAAAAGCAACCATAAGTGCCTCTGAATAAAATAAATGGGAAAAGAACATTGCACTCACATGTGCTACCCCAATGCCTTTGCAGTTAGCATTCTACTCCACATGGTTTGAGAACTGGACTAGCCCAAAGTTCCTCTCTTTAGCATGCAGTATATTAATTTCCATGTTGTGCAATGCATCTTAAACCCTGTTAATATATTTTATATGACTGAGCAATAGATCCATCCAATCTGCAGTGGAAACAAATTTGTTAAGAGGACTTGGTAAATTTAGTAGAACTAAAAATTCATGGTTTAATGTAGTAAAAAAATGCCTTATCAGAATCAAATGTGTTTGGGGTGCACAACATCAACAGAACTCAAATGTTCATTTTAGAAATTCTCATCTAGCAAAATCCAAATGCAGGGGTTCATTGTAATTAATGAGACTATGAGATTACTTCTTTCTCCATTCAATCTTCTCTTAATAGCCACAACTGATAACATGAATAGCTTCCTTAATTAGTGATTGGGTATTGGTGCCTTCAGGAAGTCCATTGATTTCCATCAAAGTGGAAGCAGTGAAAATTGGTGACTATCCAATTCGTTTCTCATATTCTTCCTTAATTTGATTGAGTCGATAACTAATTCAAATTTAATAACACTAACTATATAATTAAGGTAATCACTTTAAATATTACACAATAATTTATTTCCCTTTAAAAATAAGTAAAAGATTTCTCCAGTCACCGGAGATAAAGTTATCTCTAGTGAGCTTAAAATAATGTCGTTTTAAGGCGAAAATCAAGGTATTTTTGTAATTATAATATATTGCAGTTATAATATATTGCAAGGTTATATTAGTCTTTGTCATTATAATTTTTTAATCTTATAACACAAAACGACGTCGTTTTGAGATCACTGGAGATAACTTTATTTGTGGTTATGGGAGAAATATTTTTTCCAAATTGACAATTTTTAATTAAAATTAAGACCAGAATTTCTAACAACTCCACTCACTCACTCTTTCAAACAAGAATTTTACCAACAAAATTAATGAGCTGACTGTATACCATCACTTGGATAACATACTAACATGGTTCACAAAGAACTTGGATAAAATACAACAAGGGTGAATTTGAGGAATTTAACTTTTAACAAAGGGTAATTTTTTCTTTTTAGAATAATATAGTGTAATCTTGAACCTAATAAAGCAAGGAAAAGATGTGTCTTCCATTATCGGTAGACCTAAACCTTGTTCTTACATGACCCGATCCATTCGATCAGACACTCGCTATCTATTTTCATTGTTAAACCATTCCCACTTTCGGTCAGAATTTCTTTGAATATGTCCTTGAATATGTCATTGTTAAACCGTGATATTAAACTTATTGCAGATAAGTTATAAAGTAATAAACTACGAAATATTAAATGCTAATCTTGAAAGGAAAAAACACTATGATGCAATAAAAAAGAGTTTATTTATTTATTTATTTAATAAAAAACACATCTCCAACGTTACCGCAGCAGCAACACTGTTAGTCCCACGAATCGACGCGCTAGAAACCCACCCAGTTGTTCATTTCGATGATCTGATCTCTAATCTCAAATCCTCTAATTCACAAAAAAAAAAAAAAAACTCCCAATTTTACATCAAAGTTTGAATCTTTGTTTAGTTTTTGCATAGCCCAAGATGTCATCGTTTCTACACCAAAGAAGTCTCCACAACCCATTTTCGAATCCATTTCCCGTTTCAGCTCCTTCTTCAACCAATTCCAAGAAACCCATTTCAATTTTTAGCCCCACCATCCTCCTAGCACTCTTGTCTCTCATGGTGGTGGTGGGTGTCTTTTGCCCCTGGGTGGGCATGCCCCAAGGCATCTTCTTTACTTCAAAACCTGCTATTTCCAAATGGGGTCACTACTCATTGGAACAAGCACTGTCCTTTGTGGCCAAAAATGGCACTGTGATCGTTTGTATTGTGAGCCAACCTTACTTGCCCTTTCTCAATAACTGGTTGATAAGCATCACAAGGCAGAACCGCCAAGACATGGTCCTTGTCATCGCTGAGGACTACCCTTCACTCTATAAGGTCAATGAACTTTGGCCTGGCCATGCAGTGCTTATTCCTCCTGTTCTTGATGTTGAATCTGCCCATAAGTTTGGTTCTAAGGTTTGTGACCCAATGCAACTCTCTCATTTTGTTGTATTAAGTTGTGTTTTTTTTTTGTCAGTAATTAGGATTTAGGATTTGATGGTTGATACTCAAAATAACCATTTCAACTCAAAAGGTCAAGATGTTGCGTGAGACTATATGGTTTTATATTTCTATATTACATCACCTCACACCGGAGCCATTGAGCGCTAAGGGTGGACAATGCACATGTCCTTGTATTTATGCTAAGAAATTTCATAATATTTAATTATTTATTAATAGAATGGGACTGTGAGGATCGAACTAGTGACCACTTAGTCATGGAGGCTTTGATATCATGTAAAGAACCATTTTAACCTAAGCTGTTGGACGATGCTATATTAATGATTTTATATTTCTCTAATAGATATTGGTTCTTGTTAAAATGGGCATTCATCCTGTAATAAGGACTTGTAACTAAATATAATCTGTTTTTACCAATTATAAGAACTTGATTTTATTAATTATATGTTCTGGCTTAATGATGTGCTTTCATTGAATCTGGTGACTTGAATTATTGTTGCTCTCTTGGAAATGTAAACACATATGTATGCAGTGTTATTGATTTTTGGATCCATGTGTGGTGCTGAATCCATGCTTGTTTATTTTCACTGTCTAGGGTTTCTTCAACTTTACAGCCAGGAGGCCAAGCCATCTGCTGAAGATTTTGGAGCTTGGATATAGTGTAATGTACAATGATGTTGATATGGTTTGGTTAGCTGATCCATTTCCTAATCTGCAAGGAAACCATGATGTGTACTTTACGGATGATATGACTGCAGTGAGTATTCTCATATAATTTAATTTCCCTTTGTGCTTCATGTCAGTTGTTATTTGCAATAACTCCTTGGTACACAATGCTGGAAACTAATTGCCTATGATTATGCTTTTACTGTGTGTTTAATATATATAATTCATATTGGCTCTATTGGTTGCAAACCTTTTGTAAAATTTTAATGCTGGGTTTTTATAGTTTCAGCATGTGTAACATATAATGCCACTTGTCTATATTATTATCTTACAGTACTATCAGATGAAGGATTTGTGCCATCTTTTTGAAGTGCAGGTTGAAATTTTTATTATTTTTATTATTTTCACTAGATATTTCATCTAGAATACACTTTGGATGCCAAATCAGTTTCATCTACATGGTCAATAATTCCATATTATTAGCTATAAAAAAAACCATTGTTGTGTTTGAAAAAATTTTGAACACAAGACTTAGGATTGGTCTTGCTTTATTCTCCTTTTCTTCATCTACATTGACTTATGACTAGCACAAAGAGTGATAATGTTTGTTGTGGTTAGTAGTTAGAATCCAAACAAAGTTATCAGTAGTCTGTAACTTGATTAAAGTCCATTTTGTGAATCTATAAATTAATTGTACAGAGGAAACATCATCAGATCCACAACAATACTTGAAATGGACATTTAGAAGTTCAATAATACAGATCTCCTCCTTGTCTGGTCCATTTGGGATTTTCTTGTCTGTTAGAGATTATAATAGATAATTATAAATGTATTCATATAATGTCAAAGGAGATTTCATTGTGTTCCACTGAGGGACATGCTGATGTGCCCTAAGGTGCATTCACAAGATTCTAGTAAATCAGGCTTTGTTCTTGAGTGTGATTCTTTTTGTTCTTGTATTATTGACTTTCTTTTTTTTATTTTTTTCTTCACGAGGCCAGATCAAACCATTAAACCATTCTCATGATCTACCACCACCAGGAAAAAAGGGCCGTCCTTACATTTGTAGTTGCATGATTTTCTTGCGCCCTACTGATGGAGCAAAGCTAGTTTTGAAAAAGTGGATTGAGGAACTACAGCTTCAGCCGTGGTCCAAAAGCAAGAAATCTAATGATCAGCCTGCTTTTAACTGGGCTTTAATGAAGACTGCTAAAGAGGTTTGTTGTATTTTTTTTTTATTTCCTTCCAGTTTGTATAACTTTCGTATATTAATTATACTAATATATTAGGGGAAGTTATTTATCTTGAGATTTTCTTTTAGAGCACTTTGATGGTCAATCAGGATCTTTTATTTCTGATAAAATAGCATATCTCGTGCCATTATATGCTTGAGGTCAATTAGGATATTTTGTTTCGGATAAAGTAGCGAAGTGGTAAAGCTGTTCTTTAATGACTGAAAGGTCATGAGTTCGAATCTAGGAAACAGTCTCTTTACAATTATGCAATGGTAAGGCTGCGTACAATGATTACCTCCACCCCACACTCGCTAGTCGGGTTTAACGGGGAGTGATTTTTTTTTATAAAGTAGCGAAGTGTATGCCATTATAGGCTTCAGTGTAAATCCTGTCCTCATAAAATAGAAGACAGTTTGATTGATGTTTAGTCTATACTTTGTTGCTAATCCAAGTATACTGGTGTTAAATCTTTACTTTGTTGCTTATCCAAGTATGACTTCAAAATTCCCTAGATCTGAAACCAAAATAAAGATGGCCCAGTGCATTAATCTCTTTCTGTTGTGGGGTCTGGTAGGGTTAGGTGTGAACAACCTTGCCCCCGAATAAATACAGATAAAAATAGTTTTTTTCTTTGATGGATTATTTGTGGTTGATCACCATTAAAAAAACAAAAAAACTTTCCCTAGATGGTTTTATTGGAAATTATGTTTTTGGCAAGAAGAGGGCGAGCCTGAAGTAGTGGTAAAGTTGCTCCTTTGTGATGAAAGGTTATGGGGTTTGAATCTGGGAAATAACCTCTTTGCAAATATGCAAGGATAAGACGGTGTACAAAAGATTGGCCTCACCCCTATCCTCGTTAGTCGGAGTTTAATGGGGAGTGGTTTTTTTTATGTTTTTGGCAAGAACCCAATGGCGTCGATTGATCGGTGTTGCCCACCCCACTTAGTGGGACGAGACTTGTTTGTTTTTGTTATTGTTGATTATTCTTTGTTGTTGATCTGGCATTATAGTCTAAATTGTATCTTCAAATTGACATTGCTTTTTTAAGGTTTATGTGTCATTCTGTTTCATGAATTTACTGTCATTTCCTTTTACAATAAATTGTATGTGTATGTTTTATTACATTGAACACTAGCTTGCTGATAAATTTCTATCATATTATGGTAGGTTACCATGGATGATTTGTGTTACATAAGAAATAGAAGATATGCAATTTGCTTTTATCAACCCTCTGTTAACAAAAAAACAGAAAACAGGAAATTGTCTTTCACACTAAATCTTAATAAAATGCATCTTTTTGTTTTTGAAAGTGAAAACTATATCCATCAGAAAAAACTTTTTTGTAGATGCGGGGAAGGGTTTTGCTGTGATGCATTATGAATAGCAGAACCCAAAATCCTTTCATGAATGAAATGCTAAAAGTAAAAGGTAAAATGCATTGGTTGTTTGGCACTGCAAGATGTCCATTGCACTTCTCATATTTATCATTTTGATCCCCTAATGTTTTGCTTCAGCGGTTATAAGATTTGTATTAAAAGCTTGATTTCAAGTAAGGTATATAAACAGTTTTAAATCACGATACATTTGCCAGGGGTTTATTTCACTCTTTAGAACATCTAAAATGCAGATATATCATATATGTTTTCCTTTTCCATGATTATTTTCCCCCCCATTGTAGGTGGATTTGTACCTGCTTCCACAGGCAGCATTCCCTACAGGCGGATTATATTTCAAGAACAAGACATGGGTCAAAGAAACTAAAGAAATGCATGTTATAATTCATAATAACTATATAGTAGGTTTTGAGAAGAAGATAAAGCGATTTCGTGACTATGGCCTTTGGTTGGTGGATGATCATGCGCATGAGTCCCCTCTTGGTGGATTATGATCCTTGGCAGATGACACAAGTTTATCGTCATCTTTGATCCAAGCATTTAGATTAAGAACATGCTTTCTGCCAATTTGTTCATCCTGCTTGCTCGATGGATGTTTTCTGAAGATATTATAACTGTTGCTGTCAACACACACCTTTGGCTGAATGATGGGTTGGTAAATGGCCCTTCGTGTTCAATTTTGTGAAGAAAAAAAGGTGGTTACAATTGGTAGATTTTATTTCAAGGCTCAAAGAAGAAAAGGGTAGATTTTATTTGGTTATTGGAGTGTACCTGATGATATGCAATTGTTCAGAAAAAAATATGCTTCCACAGTATGCAATAGTCAATTTGCATACATATACGAAATATATGTTCTTTCCCACCCCCTACATGTAGGAATACTAATTGGCAATTGTAGAGAATCTAAAGTCATTACTGGTGGTGTATTCAAAAAAGAAAAAAAAAAAGTCATTACTGGTGGCATGTGAAGTGAATCAAAATATTCATAATTACATTATGAATATTTCTTGGAAAACAGTTATCCTTGCTGTGGTTGCCTGAAGCTACTATAATAAATTGTTGATATCAGCTACTACTAGCCAAAGGCTACTATAATATAAGCAGATTAAAAATAATTATTTGATTCTATTATCATACACTGTTTTAGATGATTAACCCATACTAATATGTACGGCACAAAAAATATATATTTTGTCTACCACACTTATAAAAAAGTGAGTGAGTCTTATTGTAAAAAAATAAGAGAGAAATTTGATGAAACTTATTCATTTTTATGAGTGTGGCAGATAAAATAATTTTGCAGCAAAAGCAAAAATGGTTTTCCTTAAATAAGAGAGAACAGTTTCTAATAAAAGTGTGAGTTAATTGATTACCAAAAAAAAAGTGAGTTAATTCACCTGGTCTAGCTTTTAATTCTGATAATTGTATAATTTTGAGTTTAAATTCAGAAATTCCATTTAAATGGAATTTGTAGTCTCACTATACATTATTTTAAAAAAATTGGTGATGTGTTCTAATTTTATTATTTTTTGATATATCGACCGTATTTATTTTTTTGAGATGAGTCATTCCTTAAATATTTTCATAAGTTTCAACTGTTTTGAGGTTTTGAGCGGATTATAATATTAATCTTGAGTCAAGACATAGTTATCGTTAAAATTTTTCGTCTCTCCTCAAATATGTATCTAGTGAGCGTAATCTTGTTACAAGGCCTTGCAACACTACAAAAAAAATTGGTTGGGGGTCGAGACACTGATCACCCTCCAAATAAAAAAAAGTTTGGGGTAAACTCAAACCGATAAATAACCCTTATGAAAAGACCACATTGGTCAAACTAAGAGCCTATGTCTACAGAAAAAAATAAAAATAAAGCTTAAGCATATTGGGTCATTGTAAATGATTCAATATTAAAATAATTGATGGTAAAATCATTTTTGAAAGATATTACATTTGTTCGAGGAATCGATGGTTAATTGTAGTGAATTACTCACATTTGGTATAAGGATTTCAAATTTTATTTTTTTCAGGAAAATGAGATTCCCGATGTTGCAATTTATGAAGCAGAATTCCATATAAAAATATCACCAAGTGGTGATATTTTTAGATTCTCACCCGATGAAAAAATATCAAACTATATTTACGACGATTTTAATCCTCGTTGCTCTTTCGTATCTCTTTTATTGGTGAAGAAAAAGAAAAATAGTTGCTAGAATAATGTGCAGTGGAATCGAACTGGAGAAAGAGAACAAGTAACACCATTGACAATGTGATGTTGAACTATACGGCAAAATCATGGGATTAGAGTTCGGCCATGTTCACCTCTTCCTTTCTCTCACTAAGTGGTTCTATCTTTCTGAAATGGAGGCAAATGCTCTCAATCTGCAAATATATTATCTTTTTTCTATCTTCAATTTTTGGGATTTTTTTTAACCCACAAATTTTTTTATTTAAGTTTAAAAATTAATTAATTTCGTTCAATTTTTTCTTTCACAAAATTTAATCATTGAGGTTATTTTTGTAAAAGGGTAATGTTTTTCTTATGCTGTTAGAAAAAGCTTATCTCGTGTCATAGACTCTTCGAAATTTGAGCCATCATTTTTTTTTATTTTTTTAGAGTATGGAACCCACTTAAAAATGTTTATGTAGGAGATACTCTTATCTCCAATGACATAAGAAAAGACAACCCTTTGTAAAATCATTTCACATTTTCAGTAATATTTGACAATCAACCAAACATAGAATTAGGAAACTTAAGCCAACTTTTCTCGTAATATTTTGACCTACCAAACAATTTTTTGGTCACATTACTAGGAAAGTCACTTTCTCAGCATATTTCTGGGAATCATGATTACAAGGCATAGAAAAATTTCCACTCTACCAAACACCCCATAAAATTAGTAATAGAATAGACTAGATTAACCCACTTTATGTGAGTCAAATATATATATATATATATATATATATATATATATATATATATATATATATATATATATATATATATTGAGTTAGCCCAACCCTAGTTACCTTTTTGAGAAGAGTTGACTCTTCCCAATATCTCCACATCCTTCGACTATTTGAACTGGCTGTGGGACTAATTCGGAGTGTGGGACAAGTCATGGATTAAGATATTTAAATTCCTACCAAATATGACATGTGAAGATCGAATCTGAAGTCCTTTCTTTTTTACTTACTCAACGTCCTTCCTACCAACTGATCATCACCATTTGATTGTGAGTCAAATATTCTTGCAGTCACTTTGAATTCAAATTCAAAATTTGAAATTCTAAGTCCGAATAGCTTCAAGTAATCTTGTCTAAATTCATTTCAATTCATCTCAAGTGCGTCTACACGTGATTATTCTGTTTACAAATGCTACCTAAACACAATTTTTTTTTGGGTTGAAATACCTAAACACACTTATAACATGAAAAAATGTTTTAAATGACTTAATGTAAATAGTAAAATAGTTAAATAGTGTGCATTTACTTTGGATTTACTTTTTGAAATTCAAAGTCCTAATTTATTATTAGGGATTTGCTTTCATCCTGTTACCCGATAGATGAATAGTTTTTTCTGCACAAATAGAATTATGATGGGGCCATTTTAAAAAAATAAAAGAAAAAAAAATAAAAGAAAAGGGAGATTTCCGATGTATCAGCAGGATATGATTTCATTGTTATGTTACATGATAATTGGATTTCCCTTATTATTATTAACTCATGTTCATTTAATTTCAATGGTTCATATATCATATTCAAAGTGCGGTTACACGTGACAATATGCAATAAAATTTTAAGTGGTCAAATATTCTTGCAATAACTTTGAATTTTGTTTTCTTGAAATTCAAAGTCCCAATTCATTATTGCTGCTTAAATAATTTTTCATTTCAATGGTGTTTAAGTATAAATAAGTAACGCTTATTTGACATTAAAATATATGATTAAGCAGGTATTTTTAATGATTTTAATAGGTAATATATTAGAGAGAGATTATATATAATATCCCTAACCTAATTAAATAATAAATTACATGTAATTAAGTAAATTAGCATGTATTAGTGAGTTGAAATAAATAAAAAGACTAATTAAATTAATTAGGGTCACTTTTGAGGTAAAAAAATGCAGTCAGTGAGAATTAAGGGGTATAAATGAGTGTAGGCAAAAGTACCCAAAATATTAAAGTAAAAGTGAAAATATTCCTAGAAAAATATTTAAGACATTTAGGTAAAGTTTGAAAGAGAACGGAGTTAAATAGCTAGATGAGCTAATACCCAGTTAAGATAACTTAACTATGTTAAGTGAAAAAAGCAAGGAAAGAAGCCTCATTCTTCCTCCTCCTTCGTCGACCAAAACTGAGAGAAAAGAGAGGGAGAGTCCATTTTGAGCTTCAAACCCTAGCTCCCTCATCTCGCAACGAAATTCATCTGTTCCAAAGCCAAAAATGTAGAGAATCTTCTCCTCATTCCAAATCCTAGCTTGGTTTTGAGTGGGAAGCATTATGGGGTGAGATATCTCCCTCCAAAGATTTTGACCCTTGTGAAGATTTGAGGAATTTGATGGCATTTTCTTCCATGGGAGCTTAGGATAACACCTTTCCTTGGTTGTGTGATGCTTTGGGGTAAGTTTTCACTTCTCAAACCTTGTTTCCATGGAGGTTGCATGAGGTTGAAGATGATGAATAGTGATTTTGTGAGTTTGATAAGTTTGAGTTATAATGAGCTAAGTTCCTTTACAAATGTTGTTAGGAATGATGATTAAACGATGGAAATGAACTTAGATAGTCGTTTGGTTATGGTTTCATATTTTGAAAAAAAATTCATGCTTGAAATGTGGAGTTTCTTGCATTGTTGAGTCATGGGTTGGATTGGTTGTGTTAATGGTGTCCATTGTGTTGATAGGATTGAAGCAAGTGGACCCACATTGAGTGACCAACCATTGGAGGAAGCCATGGAGCTTGAGTAGCTCATTTGGATTGGTAAGTTCATGCCTTAATTATGCTGTGAATGGGATTGTGTGGTTTTTGAATATGTTGTATGTATGTTAAATTGATGGATTTCACACTCTTGAATAGGGTGTATTGGTGATTGGACGAAATTGCCTTGTGGACATACCAAGAAAGGTTGGTGTGGATAAGTGAGATAGAAGAAAGCTTGCAAATGAGGGGAAACATGAAGAGGTAAACCTTTGGATCTTGGAGGTTAATCCCTCTTGTTGTTCCACCATTGCTTTTATGGAAGTGATGGTTTATGAATGGATGATTGAGTGGTAATGTTAGTATTATGGTATGTTTGCATTCATATAGTATTGTTGTGTCATTGGAGAAAAGGCCAATGGACAAGCACTAGGGGCTAGGTTGTATGCTTAGTGGAAAGGACTAAGATGCAACTCAAGCGTGTGTGATGATTGATTGCTTAATTTTGTGGCCATTGAAATGCATGAGTATGCTGTTGTTAAATCATTACTTATATTGCCTCTGGATATATGATGTAGTTCATGCCATGTGTATACTAACCCTTCATGCAGGAAGTGAACTCTGGGGTTGGAGCAACTCTCCAAGAACCCTGGGTTTATTGAGTTTTATCTCACCCCGTTTGGGGACTGCTATTTCAGATGCTAGCAGAGATGATACTGGGCGAGGCAAAGGGAACGAGTAGCTTGCATATGATAGATGATAATTGATATATTTTGATGCATTAGTGATAGATGAATGCAAGTAGGACTTAGAAGTTGATCATTGATGTTGTATTGCCCTGGTGGGACTTTGATCACTTCTTATTTCTAAGTCTTTGGTATGTAATCATTTTGATGCACATTGATGTAATTAAGCCTCTCTTGATATCATGTGGGCCTTGAAATGGCAAGCATTATGCATTGAAATTGTTATATAATGTCTATTAGGTGAAAGAAAACCTTTGGGATTGAGAATTAATGTAAATATAAGGATATTTTGGCTTGTTATCCAT